TATGACTCAAACAATTAAATCTACCTCTACATTTCAAATTTAGCCATAAACTTATAAATTCCTTTTAAGTTACTTCAGGGGTATTTTCGTCATCTCTCTTCACAAAAGAGCCTTAGACTATTATTTCCCATTTTCTGGGATTTTCTTAGAATTTTCTAAGTACTTTTCATTTTTACCCCTGATGGCCGTAACTTTCTGAATTTACGGTTTTACCCCTGCTTAGGCTCAACCTCATAAAACCATCTCTTTGAGGCTTCTAACTTAACCTTTGGTATGTATCTAGCCTCTTTTCCCTTTCTAGGCCTTTGAGAATTTACTGGAGCCTCTAACTTTGATTACCCTTTAGCCCCTTAAAACCTTCACTTTGCAATTTAGTCCCTAAAACTGCTTTAACTTCCTTTCTCATCTTTAGGACCTCTACTAAAAAGGGGTCTGATAGCCTATCTCATTCAGGCTATTTTTGATACTTCTAGGCCGAAAAATCGGGATGTGACAACTACCTTCCTGCTCAAGGCATCAGCCACTCCATTGGCCTTTGCCAGATAATACTTGATCTGCTAGTCATAGTCATTGAGTAGCTCCATCCTTTTTCTCTACCTCATATTCAGCTCTTTCTAATCTTACAAGTACTTAAGACTCTTATAATTACAAAACAGTTTTATAGTTGCTCTGTACAGATCATACCTCTATATCTTTAAGGCATAAACAATCGCTGCTAGCTCTAGGTCATGTGTGGGGTAATTCTCCTTATGAGACTTTAGCTGTCGTGAGGCATAGGTGACAATTCTGCCTTGCTGCACCAGTACACATCCCAATCCTTGTTTACTCACATCTGTGCACACTACATATGGTAGTATCAGACCCCGGATCACTAGTACCGGAGCAGAGGTTAGCCTTACTTCAACTCCTGAAAGCTTATCTCACACTTATTGTCTCACACAAATTGCTAATTCTTCCTGGTAAGCTTGGTTAGTAGTTGGGCAAACCCAGAAAAGTCCTGTATAAATCTCCTATAGTAACTTGCCAGCCCTAAGAAACTTATTATGTTTGTTACCATCTTAGGCTGTTCCCAGTTGAGTACTGTCTTAACTTTACTAGGATGCACAGCCACACCTTCTTTCTTAATTATGTGGCCTAGGAATCTAACTTTATCTAATCAAAATTCACATTTATTGAGCTTAACATAGAGTTTTTCTGTCACATCCAACATTATGATAATTAGAGATAGGAAATATTCTCAAATTATTGACGATTAAAAATGACAAGGAAAAAGTCAAAGGATTTTGGTGGAAAATAATTACAGTATGTTTCCAAGCCAATTATAGGAAATTGACTAATTAAGGAAAATTGGTCAAATGTAAATAAGGAAAAATATTTCCGAGCCTTGAAAAATTAAGAAAAAAATAGGGATAATATCCTTTGAGGGTTATATGAAATTATAAAGTTGGTTTTATGACCAAATTACCCTTAGAGAAATTATGAGAGAATTAAAGGGTGATTTGGGCTAATTAAGGGATATTATTTGGAAAATTCCAAATAAATAAATTAAGGGGAATAAAATTCCAAGAAAATTCATATGAGATCCTAAAGAATTATATGAGATTATGGAATTAAATGAAGACCCTCAAGTATCCAAGATTTTTCCAAATAATGATGAAAAGTGGAAAAATCCCTAAAGAGAAGGAAATTAATTTTCCTTTTTATTTAAATATTAGGAAATTAATTTTGAGACAAAGAGGGCAATTTAGGAAGATAATAATGAGGAGAATAAATTAAGGATCTGACAGAAAATAATTACAGAGGCTAAGCTACTGTAATTATAGAAAAGAAGTTAAACTCAGAGCCTGAAGTATATTGATAAAGCAAGATTGATGTCTTGCAAATCCAAGGGATCCTATTGAGCCATGTGTCAAGCTCTTGAAGGAGAAGATTTGAATTAGCCAAGTGTCATTCCATAAATGGAGAGGATCTTGACTTTAGTAATTAATTTCATTTGGAATTTTGTTAATTATGAGAGAGGAATCAAGATTTAGTAGGGTAATGACACTTGGACTATCATTAAAGAAGGTGGTTGGGATATTTTGAAGCATTAATCAAACTCTTCTCTCCCCTATTTTTAGATGTAGTTTCGGCCAAGGGAGAAAATAAGAGAAAGAGAGAGAGTTTGAGAGAAAACAAGAAGAAAGGGAGCACCTTTGATCATCCAAGCAAGGTTTCAAGGTTAGATCTTGGTCCTAGAAGTGTTCTTACTTTGTTTTCTTTCCTTTTTATGGTTAAAAATCTGTCTCCTCCCTCTCTTGATGTTGACCAAATTGATTAATAAAAAAGGGAAAGAAGTTTTGATCATCACACTTGCTAAGACACAACAACACAAGCTAGATCCTAGTGTTTGCAAGTGAGTTTAAGTTGTTTTAAAGCATTTTTCATGGTTGCTCTTTTTGAGCTTCCATTTCGGGCAAGTGAGGAACTGAACCCTAGGATGAGTTTTTCATTGTTTTAAGGCTTCCATGATGCTTAAAATGAGGAATGGTGTAGGGTAGACTAAAAGGAACAAGTGTTGGAAGCTTTAAAGCAAAGTTGTGATTTTTGGTTCATGATTCCTTGTGGTTCGGTCAAAGGGAAACTGAAGGAGGCCATTTTATTTTCCTAGATCTAAGCATATATTTGAAATCTACATGAAAAACCATGTAGGGTTGAGTCAAGGAGTGATTTTTAGGGTTAAAGAGAACCAAGTTCAAAAATAGTGAGCAAAGGAGGAAACTTTATGGTTCAAAAATCATTTTGATGTATGTTCTTGCTTTTTCATGGTTGGATAATGATTATGGTTGCCTTTGTTGATGGATTATATGGTTAGGGTTTGATATTTGTCAAGGGAAAGAGGAGAAGGAAGAAAAGCTAAGACTTTTGGAGCAAGGTAGTAAGTTAAACCTAGCCACTACCACTAACTAGCATTGTTGATTATTGTATGGTTAATTACTATTATTGTGGTTGAGCTTTCTTGATTGTTATGTGGCTACTCTTTATAGTATCTTGCTTTGGCCTTTGCATGTTTGAGTTTGAAAAATGATAAGCATGCTAGTTCACCAATAGTAGCTAATGTGATCATGCATAATAATGATGCTTGCTTGGTGTTATAGTTGGTTAATTTGCTACTGGGATTTTCAAAAATCTCATCCCCCAAAAATAATGTAACATTTTAGGGCCTGAATCCTCCAAGGGATAGCTATAGATTGAAGGCTAATTTGTGTCCTGAGCTTCAATTTGATAGCTAATACGTTAAAAATGGCCCAGTATACGATTTATAATGATTTTTCAAAGTAAATGGTCAGAATCTGGGAATCAGGGTTTTTAACTAATGGACAGTGTTGCTTTTCTCAAAAACCGACGCTTTCTCATAAGGAATTGGACAATGAGATTATTTTTCCTTCAAAGAGGACTTAAAGAGATTTAATTAGAATTTTGAATCACCCCAATTGAATTTTTTTAGAATAAGTTATGAATTTTTGCAATTGCTAGAAAAATAGATTTTTACCTGATGAACAGTAAAAATCCGAAAATTAGCGTTTTTATGGAAAAAAGTGAGCCCAAGACCATCCAGTGTGGTCTAAAATGATTTTGAAAGGAACCTAAGTCAATATAATAGTAAGGTGTTACATTTTTGGTATCAGAGCGGAGGTTCTGGCATAAGATAGAACGCTCTGCTTAAGTATCCCTTAGATGTTAAGAACTAACACCTATTTTCAGGAATCAAGATGGGGATTACCATGGACTGGGATACTAAACCTGAGCTGTCGGTCAATAGTTGGGATCCAATAGTAATTGATCTCACCAAGGACGAGGACCCAGAGGAATGGGTAATGGGAGATGCCAGCCCTAGCCATTCATCAGTGTGCTCCAATGACTGTGTTGAGCACTACCCAGAGCTGCTAGGGATCACGGCAGAATAGTTGCTGTACCGCCCCAAACCCGGAGACCTGGTCAACCCTGTAACTGGCTTGTACCAAGAGCCCTTAGATTTAGATCTTTATGTTCAGTCTCTTAAGCAGCCTGCTACTCTTGCTATGTATCCATGTAATGTCCCTAGACCTAGTACTGTACCAGTTGTACCCCCAGCCCCGGCAATACCTGTAGCACCTGCAGTACTATTTGTACCTACCCCAGTTTAGCCTAGTCATGAGATCCGTAGTGTGGGTCAGCGGAGTGACCGGCTGAGGTTCATAGGGCGTCACATCAGGAGGGATGTTTATGCAGACCTGAGAGTACACCTAGACTATCTCGAGGGTGTGAGGGAGCTGTATCAGGCACACGGACCAGGCAACCCTTACTTAGAACCATTTAATTGGTTATGTGAGATGGTAAATGTCCTACCTAACACTCCCTTCTGGACCCATGAGATTGTCCGCCTGGACTACTTGCTGGGAGATGATGTAAAGGACTGGATCCGAAGCCTTGAGGGCTTTGTTATTGTTCACTTTCTATAGACGCTAGGACTGTCCTATCACTAACGTAGGATATATTTTGGTACAGCTAACCCTAGTAGGTTAGGTTGTTTAATGCTTGGTCGATAGATGTGTTGATTGCACTTTGACTGGTCAATGCTTAGCTGCTTTTTGTTGTATGCTCATTTTGTGAATAAAATCCAAGCATGATATTTATTTCTTGTTCCTTGTTGTGCTATCCAGTTAGTTAAGCAATGGTTAGAACTCGACGAAACCTTTAACCAGAGAGGCCCCCAGTGCAAGATGCAAGGGTCCCTCCTGATCCATTACAATTGATTTTGGAACGCCTCGAGCAACAGTAGAAGACCATCGAGGACATGAGAGCAGCTCAAGCTCGCCAGGAATAAGAAAGGGATGCAGCGATAGCTATAGCAGGCAGCAGCAGCATTAGCGAACCTTGACAGAAGGCAACCAGAAGAAGAGGTCTCTGTAGCACCAGCATTAGAACAGTTGCCAAGGCCGGCAATGCCAGCAGCAGAACCCGACAGCATTCAATAGTGGATGACCCGATTTTGTAAGCACAACCCACCATCATTTGATGGGACATTTGATGTTCAAGCGGTGGAAGAGTGGATTAATCGCCTAAAGAAGATCTTCAAGGTGCTGGACTGCTCATCAGAGCAAAAAGGCCAGATGGTGATATATAAGCTGGAGAAAGATGCCGATCGCTGGTGGAAGAATACTACAATTCTTCTCGATGCTCGAAACACAACGGTGACTTGGGAAGTGTTTCTGGAGCAGTTTTATGAGAAGTACTTTCTGAGATCTGTTCAGGATGAGAGAGAAGTAGAATTTCTGACTCTGAAGCAATGGGATGATGAGCCTTTTGATGAATACTTGTCGAAGTTCATCTGTCTCTCTCATTATTCAAGCTATCTCCGATACAGAGACGATGAGAGGTGGACGACAGAGAAGATAGTTCGAGGACTGAGGCCATCATTGAGGGAGATGATTGCTCACAGACAATTTGAGCAGTTCAATAAAGCAGTGGAAGCTTGCCGAATCACGAAAAGCAGCTTCAACCATCATTTGATGGTCAAGACAACTCCCAGAGCTGAGAAGGGAGGTTAAGGAGGTCAAGGTGTTACCTCGTCTAATGTGAATAAGAAGAGGAAGCAACCTTGGAACAACCGTAAGAGCAAGAAAGGTGATAAAGCACCGAAGGGCAAGGAGTGTCCTAAGCGTGGCAAGAGTCACGGTGACAGACCATGCATGGCTGGGCAAAATGTTTGCTACACCTGTGGCAAACCTGGACATTTCTCAAGAGAGTGCCCACAGAACACCGAGCAGGCAAGACCACGCACCCAGGGGCTGAGTGTTTGCCATCACAAGAGAAGAAGCTTGGAAGTCTCCGGAGATGATCCAAGGTACGACCATGATTAACAATTCTCCGGTGATTGCAATGTTTGATTCGGGTGCTAGTCATTCTTTTATTTCATATGCCTGTGTAGAAAGACTTGGCTTGAGTATAAATACATTGCCATATGATATACATGTGTCTAGCCCAACGCAGAGTAGGGTAGTTACATCTGATGTGTGCCTAAACTGTATAGTTTGTTATGAGCACTGTTGCACTGCTATAGATTTGATATGCATACCTTTCCATGAGATGGATGTGGTGATTAGACTTAATTGGTTGTCATCCCACAATATCCTAATGGATTGTAAGAACAAAACCTTAATCTTACCCATGAGGGATTTAGAGTTGAATCCGGAAGTTAGATTAAACTTAATTACGAAAGCCCAAGCGGGCAAATGCTTACGAAAAGGCTGTCAAGGATTCCTCGTTTTCTTCTCAGTACAAGTCGAAGTCGAGGAAGGGATAGGAGAAATCCCAGTGGTCAGGGAATTTCTGAAAGTGTTTCCAATAGAGATCGCAAGATTACCCCCAGACAGAGAAGTAGAATTCACAATTGACATAGTACCTGGAGCAGGACCAATTTCTAAGGCCCCTTATAGAATGGCTCCTAATGAAATGACAGAACTTAAGAAGCAAATAGAGGAGTTACTTGAAAAAGGTTTTATTAGACCAAGTATGTCGCCATGGGGTGCTCTAGTATTGTTTCTCAAGAAAAAGGATGGTAGTCTAAGGCTGTGCATAGACTACAGGGAGTTGAACAAAGTCACAGTTAAGAACAAGTATCCGCTCCCTAAGATAGATGATCTGTTAGACTAGTTGGTTGAAGCCAGTGTATTCTCTAAGATTGATCTAAGATCGAGCTATCACCAGCTCAAGATTAAGTCTGAAGATGTCCCTAAAACTACGTTTAGAACCTGATATGGGCACTATGAATTCTTAGTGATGCCGTTTGGATTGACGAACGCACCTGCCATATTCATGGACTACATAAATAGGATTTTTCGTCCTTACTTGGATCAATTTGTGGTTGTATTCATTGATGACATCCTGGTGTACTCCAAGTCTCTAGAAGAGCATGAGGAGCATTTGAGGATTGTCCTAAATACCCTGGAAGAGAAACATCTGGTGGCTAAACTTCGTAAGTGTGAGTTTTGGCTCCAGGAAGTCTGATTTCTCGGCCATGTGATTTCCCGAGAGGGAGTGGCTGTCGACCCCAGTAAGATTGAGGCAGTACTCAACTGGGAGAGACCCAAGACGGTGACCAAGATCAAAAGTTTCCTCGGACTAGAAGGGTGTTACAGAAGATTTATCCAGGACTTTTCTCAAATTGCTCTCCCGCTAACCAAGTTAACCAAGAAGAACCAGCCGTTCTTGTGGGATGAGAAGAGTGAGGCTAGTTTTCAGGAGCTGAAGAGGAAGCTCACTTCTACTCCCGTACTTATACTTCCCGATCCTTCACAACCGTATATGGTTTATACAGATGCTAGCAAGCAGGGATTGGGATGTGTGCTTATACAGCAAGGGCGGGTAGTAGCCTATGCCTCATGACAGTTGAAATCTCACGAGGAGAAGTACCTAACCCACGACCTAGAGTTGGTAGCGATAGTTTATGCACTGAAGATATAGAGACACTATCTGTATGGAGCAGCCGTATAATTGTTTTGTGACCACAAAAGCCTCAAGTACCTCCATGACCAGAAAGAGTTGAATATGAGACGACGAAGGTGGATGGACTTACTCAAAGATTATGATTTTCAAATTAAGTACCATCCAGGCAAAGCGAATGTAGTCACGGATGCCGTAAGTAGAAAGACAGTACAGGTAGCATCGCTGATGATCAGAGAGCAAAAGCTGGTAGAGGATTTCAGAGATTGGGGTCCTTTATATCAGATGCAATTAGTAGAAGGAAATAGAGGTAAAACCCAGTTTACAACCCTGCTCAAAGATCAAATCAGAGAAGCACTGTCACAGGACTGGCTAGCAAAAATTCTCAAGGAGAAGCTGTTTAGAGGCGAGAGTAAGAATTTTGAAATTTCTAAGGAGGGGATACTGAAGTTTAAAGGAAGAACATATGTTCCCCAAGTGTCTGATCTCAGAAAAGAGATACTGGCAGAAGCCTATAAGAGCAAATATACTCTTCACCCAGGAATGACAAAGATGTATCATGATGTTAAAGAACTTTTCTGGTGGCCTGGAATGAAGAAGGATATTACAAAATATGTGACAAAGTGTCTTACCTGCCAGAAGGTGAAGGTAGAACACCAAAAACCTGCAGGAGAGTTACAACCCTTGGATATCCCTGAGTGGAAATGGGACAGTATATCCATGGACTTTATAGTGGGGTTACCAATGACAGCGTCGAAACATGATGCAATATGGGTGATAATCGACCGTCTGACTAAGTCTGCGCATTTTCTCAGTATGAATATAAAGGATTCTCCAGAGAAGTTAGCGAGACTTTACATCAAAGTGATTGTTAGGCTGCATGGTGTTCCAAGCAATATTGTTTCGGATTGAGACCCAAGATTTACTTCAAAGTTTTGGAGGTCCTTACAAAAAGAGATGGACACCACTCTCATATTCAGCACAGCCTACCACCCCCAGACGGATGGGCAGACGGAAAGAACAATTCAGACATTAGAGGATATGTTACGTGCCTGTGTATTGGATTTTAGCGGTAATTGGGATACATCCTTACCGTTAATTGAATTTGCCTACAATAACAGTTTCCATTCAAGTATTTGAATGGTACCTTATGAGGCATTATATGGGAGAAAGTGCAGATCTCCCTTATGCTGGACAGAGCTTAGTGAGAGAAATTCTCTTGGTCCTGACATGGTGGATCAGACTTCCCGATAGATAAAGGCTATTCAACAAAGGCTTGTAACAGCTCAGAGTAGACAAAAGAGTTATGCAGATATGAGAAGGAGACCATTAGAATTTGATGTTGGTGATCAAGTTTTCCTCGAAGTGTTGCCAACAACGGGAGTCGGTCGATCTCTTAAAACTAAGAAGCTCAGTCCAAAGTATGTTGGACCATTTCAGATCCTATCTAAAGCTGGACCAGTGGCCTACAAGTTAGCTCTTCCCCCGAAGTTAAGTCAGATTCATGATGTTTTCCATGTCTCCCAACTGAAGAAGTACCATCTAGATCCCACGCATGTCATAAGCTATGATGACATTGCGCTTCGGGATAATCTATCTTTTGAGGTTAGACCAGAACGAATCGTTGATCAAAAGACCAAGCAGCTGAGGAATAAGCAGATTCCCCTGGTCAAAGTGGTCTGGAAAGGTCTTTCCTCTGAAGAAGCCACATGGGAGATGGAAGCTGAGATGAAGGAAAAGTACCCTGAGCTTTTCCATTAAAGTATGCTTTAAATTTCGAGGACGAAATTTATTTAGGGGGGAGAAATGTCACATCCAGCATTATGATAATTAGAGATAGGAAATATTCTCAAATTATTGAGGATTAAAAATGACAAGGAAAAAGTCAAAGGATTTTGGTGGAAAATAATTACAGTAATTTTCCAAGCCAATTATAGGAAATTGACTAATTAAGGAAAATTGGTCAAATGTAAATAAGGAAAAATATTTTCGAGCCTTGGAAAATTAAGAAAAAAAGAGGGATAATATCCTTTGAGGGTTATATGAAATTATAAAGTTGGTTTTATGACCAAATTACCCTTAGAGAAATTATGAGAGAATTAAAGGGTGATTTAGGCTAATTAAGGGATTTTATTTGGAAAATTCCAAATAAATAAATTAAGGGGAATAAAATTCCAAGAAAATTCATATGATATCCTAAGGAATTATATGAGATTATGGAATTAAATGAAGACCCTCAAGTATCCAAGATTTTTCCAAATAATGATGAAAAGTGGAAAAATCCCTAAAGAGAAGGAAATTAATTTTCCTTTTTATTTAAATATTAGGAAATTAATTTTGAGACAAAGAGGAAAATTTGGGAAGATAATAATGAGGAGAATAAATTAAGGATCTGACAGAAAATAATTATAGAGGCTAAGCTACTGTAATTATAGAAAAGAAGTTAAACGCAGAGCCTAAAGTATACTGATAAAGCAAGATTGGTGTCTTTCAAATCCAAGGGATCCTATTGAGCCATGTGTCAAGCTCTTGAAGGAAAAGATTTGAATTAGCCAAGTGTCATTCCATAAATGGAGAGGATCTTGACTTTAGTAATTAATTTCATTTGGAATTTTGTTAACTATGAGAGAGGAATCAAGATTTAGTAGGGTAATGACACTTGGACTATCATTAAAGAAGGTGGTTGGGATATTTTGAAGCATTAATCAAGCTCTTCTCTTCCCTATTTTTAGATGTAGTTTTAGCCAAGGGAGAAAATAAGAGAAAAAGAGAGAGTTTGAGAGAAAACAAGAAGAAAGGGAGCACCTTTGATCATCCAAGCAAGGTTTCAAGGTTAGATCTTGGTCCTAGAAGTGTTCTTACTTTGTTTTCTTTCCTTTTTATGGTTAAAAATCTGTCTCCTCCCTCTCTTGATGTTGACCGAACTGATTAATAAAAAGGGAAAGAAGTTTTGATCATCACACTTGCTAAGACAAAACAACACAAGCTAGATCCTAGTGTTTGCAAATTAGTTTAAGTTGTTTTAAAGCATTTTTCATGGTTGTTTTTTTTAGCTTCCATTTCGGCCAAGTGAGGAATTGAACCCTAGGATGAGTTTTTTATTGTT